GCCATCCATTACCACCATCACCCACCAAACCACGTCCCTAAATGGGATCATGGGACCTTTAGGGTCAGGAAACCCCCCTGGGACCACCCAGACCATCCATCCCCACCATTGGCCACCAACCATCACCATAAGTAGGGTCACAGGGCCATTAGGGTCCGAAATCCCTCAGGGACCCCCAGATCCATCCACCATCAGTGCCACCCACCAAACCACATCCCTAAATGGGATCATGGGACCTTTAGGGTCCGGAAATCCCTCTGGGGCCGCCAGGTCCACCCACCACCGATGCCCCCCACCCACATCCTGTGCTTTGACCGATCTTCTGCAGGACATTGTTGCAGTGAGCGCAGCAAAGCGTCGCACCCACCTTCATGCTGACAGGACACAGGTTGCTGCTGCCCGCACACGCGGACGGACACACGGAAACGCGGACGGACACACGGAAACGCGGACGGACACACGGACTCATAGATGGACAGATCGGTCGTGTTCTAGGAGGACCGTGGCGCTCCCTCCAGCAGGGGGCGCTGTTCCGCCCGCTGAGCGCAGCGCTCCGCTGCGAGCGCCGCTCGGAATGCGGGGCTGCGGGGCGGTGCGGTGTCACTGCGGTTCGGTGTCAGTGCAGGACCGGGCCGGTTCGGTGTCACTGCGGGGTGATGCGGTGTCACTGCGGGACGGTGTCACTGTGGGACCGGAGCGGTGTCACTGTGGGACCGGAGCGGTGTCACTGCGGGCCGGTTCGGTGTCACTGCGGTTCGGTGTCACTGCGGTCCGGTGTCGCTGCGGGACCGGGCCGGTTCGGTGTGTCGCTGCGTTGCTGGGGTGGTTCGGTGTCGCTGCGGGCGTTGCGGTGTCACTGAGGGACCGGGCCGGTTCGGTGTCGCTACTGGGCGGTCCAGTGTCGCTGCGGGGCGCTTCGATGTCGCTGCGGGGCCGGTCCGGTTCGGTTTCTCTGAAGGGAGCTTCGGTGTCGCTGCGGTGCTTGGGCGGTTCGGTGCCGCTGCGGGACAGGATTGGTTCGGTGCTACTGAAGGACTGGGGCGGTCCGGTGTCGCTGCGGGGCCGGTCCGGTTCGGTGTCACTGCGGGACAGGGGCGGTTCAGTGTCGCTGCAGGACCCGGGCGGTTCGGTGTCGTTACTGGGCGGTCCGGTGTCGCTGCGGTGCCGGGCCGGTTTGGTGTCGCTGGGGGGCGCTTCGGTGTCGCTGGGGGGCCGGTCCGGTTCGGTGTCGCTGTGAGGCGGTTCGGTGTCGCTGGGGGGCGCTTCGGTGTCGCTGCGGGTCCGGTCCGGTTCGGTGTCACTGCGGGCCGGTTCGGTGTCGCTCCCGTCGCCCCGCTCACGGATTCCCCCCCGCACGGAACCGCCGTTATTGTTCCCCGCGGAGCTCCGTGCGGGGCAGGATGATGTCGGCGATGCGGGGCGGCGCGGCGGTGCCGGTATCGGTATCGGTATCGGTCCCGGTGCCGCGAACCGGGTCCGGTTCCAGCAGCAGCGCGCTCTGCAGTGCCTGGAGCTGCGCGCTCCCAAAGCGGCCGTTGTGGTGCAGCCGCAGCCAGGGGTCACCTGCGGGAAACGGGACGGGGCACTGGGACACGGAACCGGGACCGGAACCAGGACCGGAACCGGGATGCGGCACTGGGATACGGCACCGGGATGGGGCGCTGGGATGCAGCACCGGCATGCAGAACTGGGATGCGGAACTGGGACCGGCACCAGGATACAGAACCAGGATGTGGAACCGGGATGCAGAACCGGGATACGGTACCGGGATGCAGCACCTGGATATGGCACCAGGATGCGGAACCGGGACCGACACTTGGATACGGCACCGGGATGGGGCACAGGAATGGGGAACTGGGATGTGGCACCAGGATACGGTACCGGGATGCGGCACCGGGATATGGCACCAGGATGCGGAACTGGGACTGGCACCGGGATGTAGCACCGGAACCAGCACCAGGATGCAGAACTGGGACTGGCACCGGGATACAGCACCGGCATGTGGATCTGGGATGCAGGATGTGGCACCTTGATACGGCACCGGGATGTGGAATCGGGATGTGGAACCGGGACCGGCACCGGGATACGGCACCAGTATGGGGCACTGGGAAACGGCACCGGGATGCGGCACCGGGATACTTCACTGGGTTGTGGCACCGGGATGAGGCAGTGGGATGCGAAACCGGGACACGGCACCGAGATACGGCAGCGGGATGTGGTACCGGGAAACAGAACCGGGACGCAGAACCGGGATGAGGCAATGGGACTGACACCAGGATACAGCACCGGGATGGGGCACAGGGATACGGCACCAGAACCGGCACTGGGATGTGGAACCGGGACAGGGCACTGGGATGCGGCACTGGGATACAGAACTGGGACTGACACCTTGGCGTCTACGGCACCGGGATGCGGCACCGGGATGTGGAACCGGGATGTGGAACCGGGATGAGGAACCGGGAAACGGCACTGCGATACGGCACCAGGACTGGCACCTTGGTACTGCACCGGGATGCGGCACCGGGAAATGGCACCGGGATGTGGAACCGGGATGTGGCACCGGGATGCGAAACTGGGACATGGCACTGGGATACGGCACCGGGATGTGGTACCAGGACAGGGCACTGGGAAACGGCACCGGGAAACGGCACCGGGATGTGGAACCAGGGATGCAGAACCGGGACCGACACTTGGATACGGCACCAGGATGGGGCACAGGAATGGGGAAGAGGGATGGGGCACCGGGACTGGCACGGGGATACAGCCCAGGATACGGCACCGGGACCAGCACCAGGATGTGGAACCAGTTTGTGGCACCGGGACCG